TATATATATATGAAAATTGTCAGGCAGACTCCTGGGCTGGGGCTCAACTTGAGCTTGCTGCTGCTGCTGCTCCTTTAAGCCACAGCTTCCTTGTCCAGTGCAAAGGCTGTGATGGGAGTGAGCAGAGCCCCTCCACCAGCCACCTAGACTGTCCCAAGCTCTAAAATGGCAGGTTGGCTGATAGACCATTCAAAGCCCAGGTACTCTCGTGGATTCTGAAGAGTTCACGGTAAGGAACAGTATGAAGTCAGGCCTGTTCTGTGTGTCCTGGACTGTGCATTGACCTGGGATTCAGAGAGAGTGGCAAAACACCACACATGTTTGTTGAGCTTCAAGGTGTATCTGACCTGTCTCACAGGGTTGTTCTGAAGGCCAAATGACATTGTGCGCAAGGAAGTGTTATACGAGTGTAGTGTGTGGTGTGAAAGTAGCTCGTGGAATCCTCATTTCCATCCATGTTCTTTTGTCAGAGTAACAAGATTTCTGTCTTTTTTCCCATCCCTGCCTGGAGCTCTTTATATATTCAGTAGGTTTGCTTTATTTCACCACTTATTTTGTTTTATCCTAGAGCCCTGGAAAATTCAATGGACAATTAGTATTTTTTTTCCATGTCTATGTTTATTACATAGTTACCTGTGGAATTCTGCCATTAGCTTAGAATTGACAGTGCCAGAACCCTTCTTAAGAAATAAAGGGGGAAAAAAAAAACCAAAACAAAACTTACTTTAACGGAGCCATGGGCTATAATATACAAGATGAGTATTAGGAACTACTGATGACTCCTTATTTCATCCTGTCTTATTTTCTTATCTTCAACTATACTAAAATAGCAGCTAAGGCAAAAAGGGTGTGTTCAATATAAGCAGAATTGAGAAATGCCATGAGAAATACCTGCTGGTGCAGACCTGTGTTCTCATCATAGATGCTGAGGAGATGAAGATGAACAAGACATCATTGTTGTTGTTCTGAGGGAGCTCAGTGGAGGAAGGGCAGATAGACCCCATGTGTGCAGTGTAGGGCCCCAGGGCTATGATAGGAGAAAATCCAAGGCCAGAGGCTGGACCACAGGATTATGTAATCATATTGGCCAGAAGGTCTTAGAGAAAGCATCACAGGGCAGGTGATACTTAAAGTCAGTCTGTATAAGTTGCAGTGTGCCGGGGGTTGGGGAGACAGTTTGTACAGAGAC